TATATATATATATATATATATATATATATATAAATATATAAAATATATGAAAAATGCCATGTGGGTACTCAAATGAAAGGTCTTGATGAATATATTCTCATGGTGAGCTTATATTATCTTAAAAAATTTCAATATTCTGCTTATTTTTTTAATAAAATAGATTATAAATATTTTTAAGTGTTAAAAATTTTCAATTATTTTTAAACCAAAAAGAAAAAGAAATTTTTGACAAACTAACAAAAAATATCTCACCTTCTTCTAATATCCCTCAATTGACTATAATTTTCCATCATAACAGCCAGCTGTTTGCGATGACTCGCACATAAATCAGGCAAGACACTAGCATCGCCCAAATTGTTGGCCCTAGTCTGATTTTGGTGGAACCCTTGGGCCAATTCGCCTTGCTCTTGAACGAGCCGCTTTGTCTGAGCCATCAGCTGCTCTAAAGCAAACAACCTTTCCCCCAGACCCTTTATTTCCTTCATTTCAGGCTTATTAGACGCATCAATGGCAGCATTAACTTCGCTCTTGAGCGCCTCCATCATCCGTTCGTCGAACTGTTCCAATCCGCGGGAACATTGTTCCGCGACCTGTTCCAAGCTGCTCTGGTTGTCTTTAGCGGAGATCCAACGGAGGAGACTCATGACTTCGCAATTATTAGACTCGATGATTTCATCTCCGTCGTCAACGCTTAATAATCCTTCAGCTTGCGCCCTCAGAGCCGGCAGAATCGGAATTTTCGAAAGCGTGTCCAGGTCCTTGTTGAAATTATTTAACAGCTGCATATGCTGCTGTCGCTCCGCCAGGTATTGAGTGAAAGATTGCTGCAACAAATCCGCCTTTGATTTGAACATCTGCGTTATGTCTTCCAAATTTGCTACCACTGCCGCCCAGCCCTGCTGTTGGAGATGTTGGTCGTGGACCAATCGCTCGCATGTTCGTGTCTGGTCCCTGGCTATTGCGCAGCATTGTTGGGCCAGTTGGGCCCGGGCTACTAGAGTTGCGTAGGTTGCTGGCATTGCTAGCGAGGCTGTTATTTGCTCTACTAAGTCGACATCTGCAATTTTTTCAAAATTATCATTATAACTTGTAAAATAATTAATTTAACAAAATTTGAGTGTTTATTATTGATATTATTGAGTTAAGTTATTGGCAGAGATTTCAATTGATTTAATTAAAAATTTAATACTAAAGTTAGCCAACAATTATAGTTTTTTGATTTTTTTTTCAATAATTAAATTAGTATAAAAAAAATATTTTTAAAAAATTGCAATTTAAGTTTTTTACATTTTTTTAGAAAAAAAATTCTTAAAATTTTCAGATGCCGGCTAACTTAATTTAAAAATTCTTTTTTTTTTTTAAAATTTAATTCTTTATAAAAAAAAATTCTTTTCAATATTTTAGCCAAAAATAATTTTTTAAACTTTTGAAAACTAGGGACAAATTTTATAATTTAATTTATTTACAATTATTAAATTTTTGTCCTCCAAAATTTTAATTTAAATTTTAAAAATAAACTTATAGAAATTTGTATTTTTCTAAAGTTTTTTTTGTGGCTTAAATATTAAAGATACAAAAAAATAATAAAAATCCTTTTTTTATAGAGAATAAAATTCTCTACAAAAAAAGGTTTTATAAATTTTACTATATCGTCAACTCTTGAATGATTATTAAATAAAATAATACAAAACTTTATTAAAATTATAAAGGTCTAAGTTTTTTAATTAAATTTAATTGCTCTGTAATTATGACACAAGTTTTATTGTAGGTCATGCAAGAATTTAATAAGAATTAATTAGTGTTATTTTTCAATAAAATTCTTATTAAATTTTCAAGTAAATTTATGACTGAAAGTTACTACTAACTAAAAAGTTAATAAAATTAATCGCACAAACATAACCTTCCTCAATAGAGCGCATTAATTAAGATAACCGCGTATTTTGACACTTAAAAAATTATCAACGGTAATTACCAGAAAAAAAACAGTTGATTAATTTTAAACAACAGTAGATTCTCAAGTTCAATAAAACAGAGATATATTACATGAAATAAATATAATATGGTAAAAAAAAGTTGACGTAATCAATGTAACTAATCACATTTGTAACCTTGGAATTTTATTAAACATTAATTAATAATTACTGATATTATTATTATATTTTTTCTCTCGATTTATCATTGCCATCATATTCATAAATATTCAAGCTAATCTGTATTATATTAATTTAGTAATTTCCGGAGATTTATTTCATAAAAAAGTATCACGTTTTTATTAAAAAAAATTTTTGCTAAAGTGGGTCTCTGTGTCATTAATAGGTCATTAAATTTTAGATTGTAAAAGTTATTTTTTTGATGTCTAAATTCTATTTATATTGATTACTTTTTGTACATTTATTTAATGAGTTTTTTTTAGAAAAAAAAATTAAAAACAAAATTTGTCTATTATAATTTTTTAATATTTGATCCAGAATTTTAAATTAAAGTTAAAAAATTATTTTTAAAAATATTTATACTAATTTTTAAGAATAATAATAACCCATAAAAATGTATTATTATTAAACCATTACAAACAATACGTTAATTTATATCTCGTTGACCGAATTAATATATGAGTGGGTCGTATTAATTGCCACATATGTGAATGCTAAATAAATAATAAATAATTAATAACTGAATGTATAAAACCAATTGCCGCTGTCTGCATATATAAATAAATGAATACTAAAGCAGCTTAAAAAAGAAAAAAAAAACTAACAACAACAATAATAGAAAATAAAATGAATCATGACAAGTGACTTTTGCACTTTATAACCCTAATAATACACCGCTCTTAATAAATCATTTATTAAGATCAAATAAAACTTTATTTCATATCAGTGACCCGGTACTCTGATTAAATTAAAAAAATCATCGGCTTAATTTCATTTTTTAACTTTCTAATAAAAATATAAACAACAAAAAAAAAGTTATTTTTATAAAGGGTCAAAGTCTCAGTATCTAGGCTCTTTTAAAAGTCTTCATGTTTGATGTTACGCAATGCAGTAAGTCAGTACCGTCCTCGATTCACGCGCTCAACTTCGCGATAAACTGTTATATATATATATATATATATATATATATATATATATATATATATATATATATGAGTGTGTAGCAATGTACAATGTACAAATGTATGCAAGGTACTCTATACATTTACAAAAGAGAGAGAGAAGAATAAAAATTGTCGTACGATTGGCGTCCAACAGTCTGCTAACGCCAACTCACCCGTTTTTTGCTTACTCATATCTAAACTTTTTAAATAATTATTTATTTCTGATAAACAATGGAAATTTATTGTTATTATTTAATTGTTTACGATTTTTATTAAACATTTTTTATAACGCTCTTGTTGTTTGTTGTTTGTTTACGCTTATTGTCGACATTATTTAGTTGCGCAGCTACTTGAATTACGCTCAATTTAATTATCTTTTATAGTTTTAACGAGATATTTTTTTTATTACTTAAATTAACTTGCAATTACTTTTTGGTAATTAACCTAATTTATTTTTTATAAGCTCTGTTTTTTTGGATTAAAATCTTTGAATTTTGCGCCCCGGGCTGTTGTAAAATAATTTCAACTAATTCTAGCTTAAAATAATTATTCTATCGAAATTAACAAGACTTTTTTTTTTGTAGATTATTAAATTCTCTACAAATTTTGCTGCAAACTTGTTTTTCTCTAATCAAAATTTGCTCTATTTAATTATTTAAAATTAATTAGTAAATATCAGTGATTATGATTTTAAAAAAAGAAATTGATTAGTAAAAACATTACTTGAGACATTACCACAAACAAAATTCAACGATATTGTCTCTTATAGTGTCAATAATTGGGGCTTTTACTTTAATTTATTTTTTTCTTAAATTAAATTATTAAAAAAAAATGTTTGCAAGCTAAAAAAAAATTGTCATTTGACCGTGGCATAATTTTGAGGTATAAAATTATTTTTTAAGATATTAAAATAACCCCGAATTTTTCCACCTTGAATTTCTTAAAAAAAAAAATGAAATTAAAATTTGAAATTCACAAAATAATTTATCAAATTTGACGGGAGTGATTTTTAGCAGGAATAAAATTAAAATCTGAGTCAGAAAATATTTTGGCTTTCTTTCAAAATTGTTGAATAATCGACAATTATTATAAATTATTATAAATTGTCTTAAAAAAATGGATGAAAATAGAAAATATCAGAAGCTTGATTGAGTACACAATAAGAATTTAATTAAATATTTAATTAATTAATGAGTGACAAGAGTGATAAATGAACGGAATGATTGAAATTTAATTAGCGGAACAAAGTTGAGTAAAATAAATAAAATAAATAAAACAAAAATAAAAAATTACCTGTACTGTAATCAGTATGGGGTATAGGCGGCACTTGACTTTCGATAGCTGCTTTGCTGAACAAATAAATGGGATTTGTGTCGGTGCCAGCAGAGTACGAGCAAACTCGGGCATGAGGCTCTAAACTCTCGCCACCGCTCATCAGTAGCACTTGGTGTACTGCTAAAACCCCACATTCTCGTTCAATTGCTTCCTTCAGCTCGCCAACCCTGTAATTATAGTCATCATAAAAAATTTAATATTTAATTTTTATTTAAAAATTTTTTATTAAGCTAAAAGCTCTAATTATTAACAATTCATTTTATTAATTCATTTTTTATAATTAAAATAATTTAATAATAAAAAATATTTATTAAAAAATTATTTCAAATTTTAATTTTGTAAAAAATATTAATTTTTAGTAATAAATTATTAACAGCTTATTTTATTAATCCATTTTTTATTACAAATATAATTTAATAGTAAAAAATATTAATTTTTTACTCCAAAATTAAAAATTTCTCTCTAAAATTTTTTTTTATTACTTAGTAATAAATAAATATTACTAAAATTTACGTACATCTAAAAATATATGACTTAAATAATTATAATAAATTTTTTTTAATTTCTCAAAAAAAAAAAAATTTAAAAACATCCGGTGATTTAATATCATAAAATAATAATATATATCGTGTAAAAAATAAAGAGTACAGTAATTTAGTTGTCAGATCGTAACATCTTACACTTAAGCATATATATATATAAAAATACGCAAGTGCCTGAATGAAAACCGGGTCGCACACCCAACAGACCCCATTCCCACTCCTTATTATTTAGCTGAATTAACTTAGCTATTCGCTATTTGTTATTCCTCTTTCTCTTTAATCTCAGCTGTTAACTCTCTCAACTCTTTCATTTCTTAACATTATCTATATAATAACTAAAGTCTTTATTCTTTCCCTCTTTCTCCATCTAATAAACATATTAACATATTACAGTAATCGTAGCAAGAAATAGACCGCGAAAATTTTTATCTGACCCGCGTTAATTTTCTAATTTAATAATTGTGATTATTTATTTGTTATCTACATCCTTGACTCTTAACAATAGATAACCCTTTTTTATTTTTCTTTTAATTAGTCATTAATTTCACACTGATTATTGTTATTGTTGACATATATTGACTGGATATTAATAAAAGTGAATTTCCGCTTGTATTACGCGTATCAAGTTGGCTGGGTGAGGATTGACACGAGCCAACAGAGTAACCCATTAAATATAAGAGAATATATATACGTCTAATCAGTTAATAGATATATATCTATTAAATCGTAGATAATGTTGCGTCAACGCTACGAAATTACAAGCCACTAGCCAACTGTGATACGTAATTTTTTTCCACAGGTTTTTTTAATGTATTTATATTTTTTAAACAGCAATCTTTTTTTTTATTTCATCATTCCTATCTTTGATTTTTAGGCAAGTTATTTTTTTCTAAAAAAAAATTTAATATTTCAAATTAAATGATTTTATAAAATATTTTTTTGCAATTTAATAATTTATAAATTAATAAAAATTATTTTTGACAAATTAGTGTAAAAAATATTTCAAGTTCATTTTTTTTTTTAATATTTTTGAATATAATTTTTAAAAAATATTATTTGACATTAAAATTTAATATTTTTAAACCTTAATTTAATTTAACAAAATTTTTTTGACAGTTTTTAAATCTTAAAAATTTTGTAAAATTAAATTAATAATGATTTTATAAAATATTATTTTGCAATTTTATAATTTATAAATTAATAATTAATAAATAATAATATTATGACAGCTGATATTTATTTTATTTTTGACAAATTAGTGTAAAAAATATTTAAAGTTCAATTTTTTTTAATAAATAAATTTTTTTTAAATATTTTTAAACTTTAATTTAACAAAAAAAATTATTAAATATTTTTTATAAAATTTTTTTAACAATTAAATTTATTTCTCAGTACAAAATAAATTATTTGATAAAAAAAAAACAAACCACAAAACTTTCTAATGAAAATAAAGTTAGCCGACATTTAAAAATTTTTTTTATTAAAGAATTATTGCAAAAAAATTTTTGCACTTGTTAAATCGTCAAAAACTACAAGTGCAATTTTTAAAAAATATTTTTTAGTTATAATTTAATAAAGTAAAAAAATTAAACATGTCAGCTAACGTTAATATTATTATTAAAATAAAATAAAAAAATACAAAACTTAACCTAAAAAAAAATAATACTCACGTTTGAAGTGCTAATTTGATGTCAAAGGTCAACGTAGCACCAGTATCAACATGAAATACATACAACATTTTTGTAATCCAGAAAATAAAAATATTGTTGTCACCAAAAATAATCCAATTTAGAAAAACAGCCGTAGAAAATTCTCAATAATTTCTTGTTAAATATTTGGACAGGAAAAAAAAATTGTTGAGTAAACAATTACCAAAAAAGAGACTTAAATGTCCCTTAGTAACCCCAGTAGTCAGCTTTGGGGCCGTACCCCACGTATCTCACAATTTGCGAGGACGGCCCCGTTTAATCTGTTTTCTATCATATATACCCACTGGCAATTATCGGATTTATGATTAATTATTATCAACCATATAATTTATTATTACTTGTCAATCAATTGTAACCGAATCTTGACATTTAGATAAAGAAAAACTCAATTTTAATTCATACTAGCTTCTCCAATTTTATAAACAATTATTATTATTTATTTATTTATATAATTAGCGTGTTAATTGTAACACAAATATTATTTACGTAGGAAATATTATTAAAATAAATGAGAACAAAGACTGCGCGCAGTAACTAACTCCAATGCGCAAGACGAAGCGAACAAAGAAAATCACGGTTTTCTATGTTACTATATTTCATGTAATATATATATATATATATATATATGTGTGTGTACAATGTATGATGCGATCACTTGTATATATTTTATAAAACAATATTTGGATTAAATATCGGACTGTCAACCAGCAAAACTCTGACAGTTTTAAACAAAATGTCAGAATATTTCTTTGTTTTAATCCTCGTCACAAATTCAAACTCTTTTTAACAAAATAACAACTAAACAAAAAATTACTCTTGTTATTGTTAACGTTGAACAAACTAACAGTGATCACTACACGACATTTTACTTAATACTGACGCATCGCGACGCCAGCTGTTTACTGCGCGTGCAAACGCTTTTAAACCTTTTATATATATTTATATATCTATATATACATCCACACACATTTAAATGTCTCACTAAAGGTGTACAGTGCATGTATTTTCAATTTACTTGTCAAGATACTCCACTTTTTATTTGGTTTGCTCTGCGCATGCGCGGGAATTACTGCGCATGCGCTAAATTTGCCGCCCCTGCGCAAAAAAATATTTTCAGACTTAGGTTATGTTTTTTTTTTGTAACTTATTAAAATTTTTAAAGATTTTGAGTGTTTTTTTTTTTTTTTAATTTTGAAAAATTAAAGTTTTTTTTTCTTAATTTTATTAAAAAAAAAATAAGTAAATAATTTCAAATAAAGAAAAGTTTGAAAGGTCAAGTTATTTATCTTCCGTGTGGAGTATCTTGTTTATTAATTTTCATTGTTTTTTAAAATTACAATTTTTATTGATTTTTTTTAATAATTACGTCAGATTTTTTTAATATTGTTTTTATTTATTCTATTTTTTATTTCTAACTAAAAAATTAAAAAATTCTGAGGTGATTTTTTAAAAATAATTATTGCATCATTTTTAATTTGAATTTTTAATTTTGTGAAATTGAAATTGTTGAATAATAAAGGTTGAATTAAGGAAAAAAGTTTTATCACGGCACGTGTAGAGATAAGTGGAGAGAAATTGAAAAAAATTTTTAAATTGCTACTGTTAAAAATTTTAAATGATGCAATAATTTAAAAAACGAACTGTTGGGTCAATGATTCGTTTTTTTGACATTTAAAAAAATTTTTTTTTAATTTAGAGATGAAAGATAATTTTAATTGCTGATGGTTATAATGTGATGGAGCTCTGCCCAAGTTAACTTAATGGATTTGTATAAAGTTTAACTAACAAATGACCTTGAAGCTCTTATAAACTATATACTGTAAACTAATAGCAAGTACCGACACGTGTAAGCACGCAAATTAAACAAAAGTACCGCGCAAATATTATTTTTTTCATTTAGAATGCGTAATATTTTTTTTTTTTTTATGATTTACTTTGGTTTTTATTTTTATCTAATGTTAGATAATATTATTTTTAAAGCGCAAAAATATTATAGTATGTTTATTATTAAGTTTATTGGCAGAGATTTCAATTAATTTAATTAATAATTTAAATTTTAGTTTTTAATTATAAAAGTTAGCCGACATTTTTAGTTTTTTAATTTTTTTTAAATAATTAAATTAGAATAAAAAAATATTTTAAAAAAATTGCACTTATAGTTTTTTAAGTTGTTTACAAATGTAATTTTTTTGTGATAATTTTTCCAATGAAAAAAAATTCTTAAAATTTTTTTGTATCAATATTTTAGCAAAAAATAATTTTTTAAAAACTAGGCATGTCTATAATTTAATTTTTGAGCTTTAAATTCAAATATTGAAGAAAAAATGAGAGATAGGGAAAAATTTATGACCTTTTTTGTAGGAAATAAAATTTTCTATACTGATAGAAGGATTTATTAACTATAAAAAGTGTCAAAAGAAAATTGCTATTTTTGCTTTTTATTTCAAATAAATATTTATTAACAGTTAATAAATTTTACTTAATTAAAAATCATTTATTAACAGCTAATAATTATTAAATATAAAAAAAATTTTGTATTTTTGATATTTAACTCAAAACTTTAAATTAAACTATTAAATAATAATTTTTAAAAATTATAATAAGCTTCTTATGATTTAAAAATTGATTTCTCAACTCCAAAATAAAATTCATTAATTTATTACAAAGTAAAGGACAATACTGTTAAAATGTAATCTGTGATACAAACATAAGGTCAAAAAGAATCTTTACTCCAGAGTTGTAGCATATACAACAGCCTTGAGGTCTAACACACCCACAGCTCGGTAAAAAATCTAAATAAAGACCGACCGATAAAAAAACATCTTTTAACTTAAACCAGAAAGAGAGAGAGAGAGTGTGTGTGTTAAGAATCAAAGAGGTTCAATTGTGGATTGTGGAAAAAACTCCACTCACTTTACTGCGCTACAGAGAATAAAGATAGGAGCTTCATTTTTCAGAGTGAGATAATTAATGCGTGTAGGTTGGCTAGTCATCTCTATCTCTATGTATATAAATATGTATATATATATACAGAAAAAAAATATATATATGTATACATATAAATAAACGCAGGTCTCAGCATGTTTCTGCTTGCTGTTGCGAAGGTTTCCGGCTACTTACGGCCATATAGATCTTCGAATGCAATTAAACTTGCGTTTATTAACAATCTCATTAAAAGTCTAAACAGTTTTGCGGTGTTTAGTTTAGTCTACGGAATATTGTATCTACAGATAAATTTATATAAATTAAATGTACTTGCTTGCTTAGTTATATATGGATGTAAATAGTTGGATGTTTAAGTATATACTTCATAGAGAGGAATATAGATAAAATATGTATATAGTGATGCATGCAAGAATTGCGTGAACAATAATACGAGGTCAGAACACGCACGTGCAATTGCACGTTAGGAGGTCGTTAATAGAGAATCGCGAGAGTTAAGCCGACGACCTGGGAAAGCTAATTAGTTACTTTCCTATTATTGATTCTTATTTTTTTCACTTTTTATTGTTATTATTATTATTATTATTATTATTATTATTAGTTAACATTATCCTTAGAAATAACAATTAATTTTAACATCTTTTTGTTAAAATTGTAAATTTTTATTTATTTAATAATAATAATTAGGGTTAAAGTTATGGTAAAATTTATAAAAATCTTTTTTAGAGTAAATTTAATTTTCTTTAAAAAGAATTTTTGTATTTTTATTTTAGCTAAAAATAATTTTTTTAACTTTTAAAAACTAGGGATAAGTTTCATAATTTAATTATTGAATTTTAAATTCTAATTTTGAAGAAAAAAATTTGTAGCAAATTATATTTTCTACAAAAAAGGTCTCTTATATTCTTTTTATATCTTCAATATTTAACTCAAAATTTTGAATTAGAGCATTAAAAACTTAAGCAATAAAGTTTTTAATTTATTAATAATCATTTAAAAAAATATATTAACAAGCTTAAAATGTATTATCATATTTTCCATATATTAAATTTTATTAAAATCTAAAAATCAAATATTTAATTCCAAATTTTCCACCACACGCATTGAATAAAAACTCTGAAAAAAAAAGTTATTTATATACCCAGGAAAATTTTATTTCACAAGTGACATGTGTTCAGCATAATATATAAAATACAATAATACAGCGTAGCACCCATCTATCGGTTGCAGCTTAACCTACGGGGTGAGTTCCGCATAGCAACAGTCAAAATTCGTTACTATACTCATGTAAATAACTTGAGTGTACTCAATCATTAGTTTAAAAATAGCACAATAGACAACAAATCAATCAAAATAATGACTTTTTCTGTCAATCATTCCCTCGACAAAAAATAAATTTTATTTTACTCATAAAATACAAATTTAAATTCCAACAGCCAAATTAACAAACATGACCTATGACGAATGATAATTAATTACAAATTACTTAATTGGTAATTACAAAATTAAAAAAACAGATAATTTAATTTTTTTAAAAGAAATTTGAATTTGTAGAATTATTTATGAGTTAAGATAGTGATTAAGAAAATCACACATTTGAGGTCAATTACTTGGCGCACATTCCGAAGCGTATGTATGTAAAAAGCGATAATTAAAAAAATACAATGTAATAAATATATATATCGCGGATTTAAAATAAACTAGGGTCCGGTGGTAAATTTCCAGTGATATAATTAATAATTATATATTTATCGAAACGGTTTTTATTTATTCTATTTATTGAAAACATTACAATTAACATTATTAAATAGAATTACCTTTTTTTTTACATCATCTTTATTTAATTAATGTTTAAATACAAATACATTTATAAATTGTTTACAGAAAAATTGGTACAATATTTTTGTGCGTTTTTTATATTAAGAATTATTTTTAAATTGCCAAAAAAAAAATTGAGAATTTTTTATTTTCTGAGAAAAAATTTTTTAAATTTATTTAAATAATCTTCAGGTCAGTGACCTGCGGTCAATAAAATTTCTCACCTTAAATCTTGAATTTAATAAAATAAATAATATTTACAATTTAAAAAAAAATTTGCAATGATAAAAAAAAAATAAATAAAAAGAGCAATAGAGAAAAAAAAAAGAGATAAAAATATAAATGACGCAGTTTTTTTTAAAGACAAAGAATTGTATCTACTTTTACTCAATTATCTTTCATGTGTTTATTTATTAATACGCTGAACGTAGGAGTTTCTTTTATATATATACATAATCGATTTTATTTATTAGTATATAAGCATAAAAATGCAAATTAATTCATAAAACTCTGCTTTAAATTTTAATTATCAATTATCAATTTTCTGATTTTATATAATACTTTTAAAATCAATTTTTTTTATTTTAATTTATGGTAATTTATTTTTATAAAAAAATTTAACATTAATAATAATAAAAGAATTAATAGTTATATGAGACTGCAAAAATTTATTATTATTATTATTATTATTATTATTAAAAAAAAAATAATTTTGTTATTATTAAGGCTCATAACAATATAATAATATTTAATGTTGTAATGCAATTACTTCTAAGAATTTTTACGACCGATCGATAAAAGTGAATCACCTCTATTCACGTATTTCATATATAATATTCACATATATAGTGCATAAAACCATTAAAAAAATACTTTTTTCAACAAAAGATATGAATTAAATTCATTTATTATTTATTATACTATAAACCGCTTGAAAATGACTCTTTTATAGCATTGAATCGTCAATTTCTTGTCATTTAAAAGAAAATAAAAAAATTCATCGATTTTGCAATTGAAATAATAATAAAAATTATTTAAATGAACATACACTTTCAAATTGTTATTAGGGAGTTTGTCCTTGAACAGCTTCAAGGATCTTAAATTTATTTAATTCAAATCTTATAAATTTGATTCGAAGCTATTCAAGGTTCTCTGAAGGTTAAAAAATGGGAGCGTAACCTTCAATTAATTTAAATAAATAAAAAAAAAAATTTTACTGCGCCGGGAATTGAACCCTGTTCTGCCGAAGCGCTGCAAGTGGCCGGCCACTTTAAACTAAAAATAAAAATTAAACAAACAATAATTATAATTTTAAATATTTATTATATTATTTAAACTTTGTATTACAATATTAAATGTTTAATCGATTGTATAATTATTTTTAATAATTATAGCAATTACAAATGATGTTAAACCCTCATGTAAATTAATAATTACATAAATATATATATATATATTAATATTATTTATTCAAAAAGTATTCGAGTACCTTGGAAACTTAAAGAAGGCGAAGAAGGCACACTACACTTCGTATATATTTTTAATATTTATTCAAATAACATACAATTTATTTATTTATTTATTTAAATATTCAATATTTAATATTTTACGATAACATTTAAAAAGCTAGAAAAGTTTTAAATATTTCAAAAATTTTTATTAATTTTATTTACAAATAAATTTTTAAATTCTCGAAAAGCCAAACAATTTTTAAAAACCACCAAAAAAAAAACAAATAATAAATAAAATTATTTTTAAATAAATAACAATAGGCGCTGCCTATAAAATTTTTGATTATTAATATTAATCAATAAACTTCCAATTAAATTTCACTGCAGTGACAACAAATTTACAGATTTACGTATATAATTAATATTATTATGTTTATATGATAGCGACATATAAATATTTCTTCCCTCGAATGTATAATATATATTATATTTGTATTTATACATATTTTATACAGATATTAAAAATTATTAATTGGAAATATTGAGTCTCCTATTTCCTATTTATTTATTAAATAAATAAATTAATTTGTTAACTTTAAAAAATTTATGATACTCTTTTTTAAATTAACTAATTATTTTCGTAGCATAAAAATCGTAAGTAGTTTTAAAAATCGCCCAAATAATAATCTTCGTTTTGCCCCTTATTTAAAATTACCAACTGTCGGTAATTTAACAAAAAAATTTAACTTATCTCGGTAAAACAGTCTTTCTTCAGAAGACTAGATAAAATTTACCAGACATTAATTACCGCTTGAATTTCAATCAAGCGCAATTATTGTTACAAAATACAATTATATTAAATATTTATCAACAAGCATTTGCTACGTCAACAATTTGAAGAACATCAGGGCCAATGATATGTTGATAAAAAGTACAAGCATCACTAGTTGCTGCCGCGAGAACCAGTCCTGGAACAAAGAAGAAATAGATTAATTTAAAAAGAAGAATGTTTTACCGACTGAAGATTAATTACTGATTACCAGCGGAGTAAAGATAATTGGCGGGTAAAAACAAATAAAAGAACAAAAAGCAGAGCGACTCACTTTGACCTGGGGACTGACTAGATACAGAAGGGGATTGGCCCTGAGTCTTTCACTTTCGTCAATTTGTCTTCGTATCTCCTCTCTCCTCATACTGCTCAGCACGCTGACCTCCTCTCTGGACAGCGGACTCGTCGCTGTCAATTGGATCGGTTGGTACACGTCCGGCAGCGATTTCTTCCTTTGGAGTGGCATCGCTGGTACCGGTATGGCCTGACGAGGTTTTACAAAAAAAAAAAAACATACAAAAGTTCTACTTGTTATTTTGTTTTTCTAAGGTAGTTAGCGTTAATCTTAAGGGATATTATTAGTTTAGTCATCTGTCGGTAAGTGTCTTGTTATTAGCTGTCGGTAATAAAGCTTTTTTTTTGTAATTTTGGAAATTTTGATTTTAGAAAAAAATGTTTTAATCACAAGTTCTTTAGAATAAATTTTATGAATAAAATTTATACTATTATTAAAAAATTTAAATTATTATTTAAAAATCTTCAAATAAATTAAATTATTAATAGTTAATAAATCTTTTTATCAGTGTAGGATAAATAGACCTATAAAAATTAAAATTAAAGAAAATCTGGGCCCATAACCTGCACTGATAGGATTTGTTTATATTTAATAATTCACTATATAAATTAACCTTTTTAATATTTAAAAATATGTATATTTCTTCAGAAGATCATATACCTAAAAAATAGCTTTAATTTAGCATTTTTTGATTTTAGAATGAACTTTTTGGAACAAAATTTCTAAAAGATCAAATTTTGAGCAATTCTACATTAAAAAATTTTTTTATCCTTCTACATTACCGACAAAATTCTACAATACCGATAAAAATAATTTTATCCGGACTAACTATCTGTTTTATCGGTAAAAAATTGAAATAAAAAAATATCCAATTAATAATTAAAAAAAAAAAAAAAAAAAAACATAATACCTCAACAGGAGGCGCAACAATCCAAGACTCTGAGGCTCTGCGAGCCATCAGAGCCGGACTACACAACAAAGCTTCTTCTTCTTCATCTGGCTCTGACCAAAACATCTTAACCTTGTTCCCTTTTTTTAATTTTTAACTCTAACCTCGTCTTCCCTAACTTACACTATTTTTATACTCTGAAACTTTTCACCTGGTCCGAAACATTATAAAAAATTTATTTCCCAAAAAAAAAAATCACTAATTTCCGGAAACTTCAAGCCATACTTTCAAATTTATTTCTTCTCTAAAATAAAAATCTTCTCGATGAATAAACAAAAAAAATAATTAAATAGAAGCTCAAGTTATGAAGCTAGAGCACAGACTGATGATCAGATGTACCTCATAGGACAAAAATAACTCAAGATACTTAGGAGACAACTCCCCGAAGATGTCCCCACTTATTGGACATCGAAATAGCCGAAAGCTTAACTGACTATTATTTATTTATTTTGTTTTTTCGTTAATCGCTCTCGACGGCCATTATTTATCTTAAAACTCTAAGAACTCTAAGAATGTTGTCTTCTGCTCGACATTCTAGGCGCATAAATATCTTAAAAAAAAATTCAAACCTCAATATCGCAAATTCCGAATAGTCTGGTGATTAATTATTAATTTATATTTGTGAAAATAATTAATTTTAAAAAGCAAAATAAGTCTAAGGTTTATTTCTAAAATAGAAACACTAAAATAACACTCGCTTGACTTTTACGAAGCTTCGATTTAAATTATATCGAGAGACAATCTTTCAATGCTTTGACTTTTTGTTTATATACTTTATTTATGTAAGCGCATCGTTTTAAAATGAATCATCAAGTACTTTATATATTTGTTGGAATTTTTTTTTAATAGTTTTATTTTTAAACATTAGAAATTTTTATTTTATTTTTGCTGCACATGCAAGGTAGAATTAGACAGTGGCGCCCCCTGGGACAAATAAATCTTTGGATTGGTTATCTTTAAGGTTATATGAGAAGAAAAGTATCAAAAAGAGTTTTTAAAACAATTTTGAAGTCTTAGGTTTGAAAAAATCCGCTAGATGGCTTTTGAGAAAAATTCTTCTCGCTAGTAAAAATAATTTTTAATAAAAATTAAAAAGAATTTGTCTTACTAAAATTTAATAAAATAAATCTAGAATTATAATTTTTAGTTTCAAAAAATTCCGCTGGGCGGCGCATGGATAATAATTCTTCTCGCTACCAGAAATAGCCAGTCTAAAAGTACTTTTTACAAAAAAAAAATGTTAAAAAAAATTTCTTACAACTAAATTAATAGGTTAAAAAAAAAAAACAGCATGCATATTTACAGTTTTTTATAATATAATGTTAATTACAGCATTGATACAATAATTTCTAATAATTTTGATCCTAATTGAATCTCAAACAAACAAATATTTTCATGAATTAACGTGTATATATATTTATATATTTTCCTCCAATAATTTATATTTAAAATTTAATTACATGTGCATAAAAAATAAATTCAAGTATTTTATAAACTTAATATATGTTTGTGCGAAATTATACGCCGAAGATTAATGGACACTTGTTACACCTTTAGCCTTTACATTTAATTAAAGTAATTTCAGCAATTAGATATTATGTTTATTTTAAAAGCTCGGAGTTAATTATGTTTGTTATTCCGTTGATTAATTAATTAATATAATGTTACACAACGCGTGTATTATACATATATATTTAGTGTCCTTTGTATAAATATAGATTCTTTTTCTGGATTTCCATTAATAGTTTTATCAATATTATCATTATTATTATTTGTAGTTATGGGAATATTTATTAGTTTCTTTCTTGGCACTTTTTTTATTCACCAGACGAGTTCATTTTATTTTAGACAAACTATAGTTTCTTATTTTTCAAGGCAAAGTTTCAAATAATATTTATCGGTTAATAATTAATTAATCAGCCTTTTAAATTATAAAATTACAACAAAAATCAGCCTTTAAATTATTTTAATAAATTATAAAAAAAGTTGTTTGTATTCATAAAAAATTTATTTATTTAAATTATTAAATTAAAAAAAAATTATTAAATGATTTTTATTTTTAATAAAAATATTAGGCCGTAAAATTCAGAACAAAATTAATAATTTTAATCAATTTTCTGTAAATCATTTAAAAATTTTCTATGAATAAAAAGTAGTGAAAAATTATATTAATGTATCACAGGTAATTAGGATTCAGACATAAATATTGAAATTTATATCAATTATATTTTTTTACACTAAAATAGAAGGATTTTTTGTTTATTAAAAAATTAATTTATGAAAATTTATATATAATAGCTTTTTTTAAAATTAAATTTAAAAAAATGCCATCAAATTAAAATGAAAATAAAGTTAGCAGAGATTTGACAATTTAAAAAATTTTTCTTATTGAAAAACTTGTAACAAAAAAAATTTTTTTTTAAATTCCACATGTAGAAAATTTAAACAACAATAAATGCAATTTTAAAAAAAATTTTTTAGCTTTAATTTAATTAATAAAAAATTTTTTAATGTCTAAAAAAAATTATTTTTTAAATATAAAAATCCTTCTACTAGTGTATTGATTAATAAATAATAAATAATAAATAATTGAATTATTTTCGTTTCTTTCTTCATAAAGGCGCTTCAGTTTCTGGACATTTTTAAAATACATATATAGAATAATTTATAATTCGTTCCTTTAACATCGAATCAACAGTAATCACACGATTTTATTATTAAATATGAATATGTAAATATATATTTATATTATTGGATCGAATTGTCAAGAATTTTACGAGAATAAATTCATATATATTAAATATCGAATACAAACATTAAAATTGTTGTGTATATATAAAGTGTGTGGATTTGAAATTGTTATTTTATTTAACTATTATAAATTTTCAATAGCATGCGTTAGAAAAATAATTTCTCTGACAAAAGGCTTCGTGAAGGTGTGGAAGAGAGTAATAAATAATAACTAAATATATAAATATATATATATATATACAGATTTAAATTAGAAAAAAAAAATATGTTTACTATTTATGGGAGAAAAAATTTTTTTTTAATTCATTTTATCGACAAACGGTCCCCGCCTCCACACCAATCACGATTTCTATTTATTTGTATTTTTTAAACTGTGTCAAAATTTTTTTCAGTCTAAAAAAAAATTTTTTTTGAGAAAAAAAATTGACACAATTTTTTTGGTAATAATTTAAAAACCGGGCAACAATTTTTTATTTATACTTAATTAAATATATCTCTTATATATAATATTTAATAATAATAGTATACATTTTAAAATATATAAAATATATTTTTTATTTCAGCAGAAAAAATTTGGAGGGCGTTTGTTTGCATTATAATAATAATTTAAAAAAGTAGTCGGCAATAATTGTGTAAATGTTTTTAAAAAATACAAGCTCGAAAAATGAATCCAGAACCTTAAAAAAAAAACTTTAAATATTAATTTTTCCCAGTATTGAAAAATATTTATTGTTAATTTAAAAATACTCATAGAGTAGCGGGGGCCTTGGGTGTTGCGTTGAAGGCGGGGACCGTTCCTCCCGTGTCCTGGGTTAGCATGCACAAAATACACATGACAACATAACACACAGTAATCAAATTAAATTAAATTAAAACAAAGGAAGTTTTAAATTATTAGCTATTTTATTAAACAAGAGTTTAGTTTTTAATTAAAAGTATTTAAAAAATTACTCACTTTTATTTTACCGCCGCCGCCACCTCCGCCGCCGCCGATGGAACTGCGGGCAGGTGCTACGTACAAGCTTTCAGTTCGCTTCGGTTGGACGGCGCTGGGAATTATTTCTTGGCCGGTTCCGCGACGCCGCAGGGCGCCCTCGAACTGGCTCGTTGTAGGAGGCGTGTAAGTCGGCGTGGCTGCTCCGCTTCCGACAGCTGATCCGTTCAATGGTGTTCCCGATCTTATTAAACTTCCGCTTCTTGCAGTTCTTTGGGAACAAAAATACTCTATTTTACTTTTTACAATTTTAAATTACAAAAAAAAAATCTTTTAGAATTTTTTAAAGAATAAAATAAATTAATTTTTTATCACTAACAATGAAAAATAGTTTATTTTTCATTTAAAACAACTTTTAGATTTTTTTTACTTCTTAAATTATCTGTAAGATGGCGCCACATATCATACTACGTCACAGCCCCGCGAAAATTTGAATTTTAAAAATGATTTTTAATTTAATTAATAAATTAGTTAAATATTTTTTATTTTTTAGATTTTTAAACCTTTAAACTTAAAAATAATAAAATAAAATTAACAATTTCTCTATTGAAGTTAAGAAAAATTATTAATTAATAATAATTTTGATAAAAAAATTCTAACCTATCACCATCTTGTGATTGTTTATCAACGGAAGGTTGACGTGATCCAAGCAAACGATTTGTACGATAACGATCAACAGAACTATCTCGACTCGGTGGCCTTTTGTAATGATCCAACCTAAAAAATAATTAGTCACAAATATTAATGTGTTAATCACGAATTTGATTCAAAAACATTTAATAAATTATTTATTACATAAATTAGTATTCTTACCGATCATTCAAAGACTGCGCATTGACAACCGTGGTAGGTCGATCTTGCTGACTTAAAATTCTGCTATTTCTTCTCAAAGTAGACTGTCTCATTCCATCATTAGCTTCGTACTGTTGGTTTTGCTGTTGAACTTGTTGTTGGATTTGTTGCTGTTGCATTTGTTGTTGTTGTTGCAATTGCTGTTGTTGCTGGAGTTGCTGTTGCATTTGTTGGAAAGCCATTGAATTATAATTACCATTAGGATAATTATTCATCCCCTAAAAACGTCAAGGTCTATCAAAATCTTGTAACACAATTTTTGACAAATTCAAAATTAGTGGGAAGTAATTAATTTTTTTGGAGGACTTTGGGGTAATTAATAGTCTAATATCAACCAGGGTATAACCAAAAAATTCATCAGATATAATAGCTTACACCATAAATCTGTTGTGGTAATAAATTGCTAGGGGCCATACTCGTCGGGTCGTATATACTCTGGGTTTGCTGATAAATCTACACAAAAAGATATTCTCTCCCTGTATTTACAATCAAAAATAGTTTCCAAATAAAATATTATTATTTAATAAAAAAAAATTGCATTAATTTATCAATAAAAATTGATATTTAATAAAAAAATATAAATATACTTTCTAATTTTGATGTAAGATGGCGTTGCGCACCGGAAAGAGAACTACGTCACAACCCCGCGAAAATTCAAACTTAAAAAAATTCTTTTTTTAATAAATTTGTATTTTAATTATATTATTAGCAAATAATGTTTTTAATTAATTAAAAAATTCAGAAAGAATAAATAATATAATAGATTATTGACTAAAAAAAATTAATAAGTGTTTTAAGTTATATTTAAATAACTTATATTTCTAATGTTTAAAAAAAAATAAAAATAGTAACCTGTTGATTTGGAAATTGATATCCATGTTGAGGTAGATATCCAGGAGCAGGAGCGCCACCACTGATTTCTAAAACTTGTTGCGTGTTGGGCATTGGTCCTAAACCAAACTGACTAACACCTGGTGCATATGCGTTTGAATTAACCATAAATTGTCCACCATCACTGACACCACCACCACTACCACCACCGTAATTATAACTCTGAGCACCAGCAGGCCCAGGCCCAGGACCAGGAACAGGACCAGGACCCAGACCCGAGCCTGCGCCATATTGTCCCACAAGTCCACTGTTTTGCGCAGTTCCAGTATTCTGATTGGCGTTCCCCAAAATAGGAATTTGGTTGGTCATCGCCTTCATGCTGGGGCGTCGGATCGACTGGTTGAAGTTCTGGGCATTGTTCGGAGCGGTTCCTCCAGCAGAGAGCGCGGGTGGGCTTGGAACTTCACTTGATTTCGCGGGCGTAGACTCAGCCGCGGTTTTCGCAGACGAGAGGATGCTTTTGGGAGGCTGAGCGTCTTGCGGAGGCGGAACATACTTGGGAATCTCCCGGTTCCTTAATCGCTCGAGCCCAGGCTGTCTAAAATCAGGCGCGAACTGCTTCGCCGTCTGCTGGGCCAGTTCCGAGTCCTGTCTCGCGTGGTCCGCGGCAATGTCCGCAAGCTCGGCCTTTCCGCGAGATGTCGCTGTGCGGGAAATTGCTATGTCTGCTTTCTGGAGCGCCATCTTGCTGGAACGCTGCGCTGCGCTCACTGCCGCGTCTATTCGTTCCCGGAACTTTGCCGAACGAATCAGGAACAGGTGCTTCTTTTTTTGGGAGGTTATCAAGACGTTGTTCTTGTACTTGCCCTCTTCTTTGGAACCGTCTCGGAAGGTCGTCACGCCGTATCCGTATTTCCGGTTGTTGAACCACTCTCCTTCGTAACGGAGCCCGTCGCTGCGCTCGGATATTCCGAAGCCTGTTCGTTTATCGTTTTTCCACTCTCCTAAGTATGTTTCTGTTACTGATGCGTCCATTTGTTCGTCCTGAAATTTTATTTTTAAAAAATTATTTAATTGCACTGTACTTCTTAACTATTGACTTTTTCAAAGATATAAGCTGATCGTGTTGTTACACTCATCAAGAGCTTTCATTAGAGTACCCATATGCATATTTCATATATTTTTCATATATACATATATATATAATATAATATAATATATAAAAAAATAATGTGGGTACTCAAATGAAAGGTCTTGATGTGTGTAACATCAGGATGAGCTTATATCTTTAAAAATGTCAATAATTCACAAGATATTTGTTAAATTGCACTGTACTTTCTTGAATATTGACATTTTTTAAGATATAAGCTTATCCTGGTATTACACTCGTCAAGAGCTTTCATTTGAGTACCCACATGCGTTTTTTATATATTTTTGATATATACATATATATATATATATATATATATATATATATATATAAATATATAAAATATATGAAAAAATGATGTGGGTATTCAAATGAAAGAGTCTTGATGAGTGTAACATCAGGATGAGCTTGTATCTTAAAAAAGGTCAATAGTTTACAAAATACAAGGTCATTTCTTTCTATAAATAATTTTTCTATAAATAATAATAATAACCTCAATAACAAACGACGCATTACTATCAGTATGGACCGACGCAGAAGCTTGACTCTGTGAACTCTCAGTTGACATCCATGACGCAGAACTGGCATTGCTTCTTATACTTCCGACAGTTCCCCGTTTTTCCAGGTCCCCTGTGCTGCGTTGTTTCCGAATTTTCAATCCCTAAAAAAAGAATCTCGATATAATTATACCAACAAATAATTTGAAGTAAATTATTACCGAAAGGATTCCTTTCTTCAGTGATTTTTCCGTCAAGCTTTTCCGTCTCGCGGGAGGATCATCGCTGCGTGCTTTAAGTACAAAGCCACCGCGACTGTCATCCACGCGGCGGTCCCGTCGATCTGTCGGTTCTGGAGTCGGAGGAACTGCTGGTGCTCCATCGGTGCTTCTTAGAGATGTCAAGGAGGCGCGGATTTGCTTGGGAGGCTTGTAATGACTCGCAAGGCCAAAGGGAGCACTTGTTCTTACTCCGTACCCGTGGCGCATTCCACGCAGCCATTGTCCTTGATAAGTTCCTGGAAAAATTTCGATGGAAGGATTTATTAACAATTAATAATTTAATTTATTTTAATGATATTACTAATCAATTAGACCCTTGTCAATAATTAGGGCTTTTTAATCTTTTTATTTTAAATAAATATTCATTTTTTTTTATCTCCAATATTTTAGCAATAATTTTTTAAACTTTTAAAAACTAGGGACAAATTCTACAATTTAATTTTTAAACTTTAAATTCAAATTTTGAATCAAAATAAAACTATAAAAAAATTAAAAAAACAAGTTTTTCTTTTATAAATAATAATTTTTGAAAATATAATAATAATAACAAAGTTCCCGGGCGATAGCCTCGTGGGATGCTAAAGATCCTAGTTATAGTAAAGTGGAAAGAAGCTGCGTACCGAAATACACACTAGCACGACTAATTCACGCCAACACCCAATACTTATTCACAAAACACGAGGTACTCGATATATACATATAGATTGTACAACACAAGTTAAATAAAATAACTATTACCATTGCTACAGTACACACTACGTCGGATGATGATACGTGGCTTGCTATTTCAGGCACCCGAGCCGTTTTTGCCACGTACCAAAAAGCCAGGACTGTAACCATTGTTTTTTCTCAACCTTTTCTTCTTTTTTACTTTTTTCATCACTTATTACAACTCTTACAATTTTTTTAACTTGCTTATGACTTATGACACATTCTTACACAATCTTTATTATTTTTATATACATAAAAATTTTTTTTATTAATAAATAATGTTTTATCATGACCGTTGAACTTTCGGTGCTTTATTATAATTCATGACGAAGATCCCGCGTAAAATTACGAAAATTTGTATCACAATCATTGCCAAAATTTTATTATGCCAAATTTAAAGATAATTATTGATTAATTTCTTTTTTATTCATCAAATTAAAATTTTTTCTGTGAAAAAATTTATTTTTTGAGTAAAATTTAATATTTAGGTCTTTTAAATTTAAAAAATAATTTTTTTTTAATTAATTAATTAATTATTTTAATTATCTTTTAAAAAATTGAAAATATTTATTAAAAATATAAAAACTTGCTTTTAAATTAAAAAATTGCTATTTTAATTTTAAAATAAATTTTTGTTTAAATTTAAAATAAAAAATTTATTATAAATAGAAAAAATAGCTGAATTTTAATATTGCGATATTTTTTTTTTTTATAAATCTTCAATATTCTTAAAAGGGTCAAAATAATAATTTTATTTTATAAATTTAATACTTGTTTTTTTTTTTTTTTTTTTTTCCAGATAAAAGATAAACTTTTTTCATGGGGGAGTAGCTTTAATTTTGGTTTAGTTTAAGTTGATTAGTTTTGAGACTTGTATGCATCTAAATAAAGCTCTCAAGAGGCAATAGAGCAGAATGAAATGCAATAAAACTTATCTGCTACACTGATGCTACTGTTTTTAAGTGGTTTCAGCTATAACATCCAACCGATACACTATATTTTATTTTATTTTATTTTATTTAATAGTCTTCTAGACTCTAACTTGAATGATTACAAACTTTATTTTTAGACCGGAAAAAATTTTACGAATTCCTAACACAACTAGAGAATTTTTTTATGGAATTTCTGGTCATTATTTTACAATAGAAAATTGTCTAGAATTTTTAATTAAATTTTTTTCAATAAAAATAATTAATAAAAAAATAAAATTACCAGAATCTGCATAAGTTTCTGAGCCATATCCGTCTTGAAGCCCACTGGCCCAAGTTCCCTCGTACCTCGCAGTGGAAGTGGTGGATTGTCTGACCCCATACCGGCCCTTGAAGCCCTGAGTCCATTCTCCGCGGTAAATCCATCTGCCCCGAGTCTCCATGCCCAGACCATGCCGCTTTCCATTCTGCCACTGGCCCTCGTAAGCTGAGCCACTAAAATAAATAAAATAAAATATTAAGCTAACTCTTTTAACAAATTGTTATCCGTCATTAGTCACTAGTCATTAACCGAATAAATAAATAACTGAGGGGAAAATGAAAAAGTAAATGGGGAAAATCGACCTCGGCCCACTAATATTTTTGTTTGATTTTTAGTTGTTATATTGTATATATAATAATGATAATAATAATAATAAAAATAAAAAATAGAGAACGAATGGAGGAGGTTTTAGGTCGAGGTCACTGTGACCTAGACTTGATGTCGTACTTGAACCCTCGACCTAATTCCCCGGCACAACTCTCCTATTTCCCTACGGTAGAATCTTCAATGTTGAATTAAATCCCGTCAGTCTTTTAAAACTACACTTTTTATTTTATTACAGCTTACTTTTGCGGGTTATTAGTAGTCAGGCCCGAGATTAAGTCAGCCCCACAATATTATTTTTCATTTATATTTTTTTCTTTATTTATTATTATAAATAAATAAATTTTTAATTACTAAATAAAAATAATAAATTAAAATCAATAAAATTTTTAAAAATTTTAAGAGTTAGAAAATGGAATTTTAATTAATTAGCAATTTAATTTAGATTTCAATAAAAAAATAAATTTTTTATAATGTTAAAGCCAATATTATTAATTAAAAATAAATAATTTTAAATAAAAGCTGTATAGATTATTTTAATTTTTTTAAGGAATTATTTCAAATAAAAAAACAAATTTTTGTAAACTTGTTTTAAAATCAAGAAAATTAAACTTTTAAAATAAAATAATAGTTTTTTGAATTTGCAATTGTAGGTTTTTAAAATTTAAACAAAAATTTATTTGAAAATGAAAATATATCAATTTTTTAATTCAAAAGTAAATATTTATATTTTTAATAAATATTTCCAATTTTTTAAAAGAAAAATCTGTTTGTTAATTTATATAAAAAGATTTTTTAATTTATTCAACAGCCTAGAGGCAAATTAAATAGTTAGTTTTTAAAAATCTTGAAATTTTTAACTATTTTTTATATAGAAAATTACTATAAATTAAAAAAAAAAAAAAACAATTATTTTCATTAAAAAATACTATTTTTTTAATTAAAAAAACCCAGAAGTCAATAAATATTTAATTTCCTCCAAAAATATCTAATAAAAATTGAATATAATGGATAAAAATAAATTGCTCAATAATAATCTAATAATTTTATCCAATTAAAAATTTTTTTAAGCTATTTTTTTATTAAACAATATTTTTTTTTAAGTTATTTTTTATCTAAAAAATAAATTTCTTCATCAAAATAATTTTTTAATTGGATAAAAATATTTTCCAACACTTCTAACTAAATAAAAAATTAAAGTGCAAAGAATAAAAAAATAGTAAAAAATCTAACCTGGGCCAGGTGTAGACCCCAGAAACTTCGAACCCGTAATGCCAGCTCCCCGAGTAGGCGCCCTGGCCCTTGGGTCCGGTGCAGACTCCATGCCCGTGGGCCTTGCCATCCTCCCAGCCCCCGCAGTAGGTCCCACCGTCATCAAAGTCGAACCTGCCGCCGTTGACCTGGAGCCGGGCGTTGTTGGTGGTCCCCGAGGCCGGACTGACCTGGGCCGGATTTGGTGGGAGTTGGGCGCCACCGGCGACCCCGTTCGGGGCTGGAGCTCCCTGGCTCTGTTGTTGCTGCATCGCGTTCATTCGTCACCAGTCCCCGGCGTGACTCACTCCCGTGTCTCCGTCCGTCATCCTCTCGGTGAGAACTCGCGGTTCCTCCGATTCCTAAAAAGATTTTTGTCCACTGGATTTATTTACATATAAGTATTTATCAAAATAAAAATTAATTTAAACACTCCCGCCATTTAAAAATTTAATTTAAATTAAATATCAAGCTGTGTTTATAAATTATCAATAAGTTTGGCAATTCTTAAACTGTCAAGCCATTCCAATCCGTGGACGTGGCTGGTATAAATCGGCCAGAGCCTTCCTTAGCTTCTTCTCTCTTTTCTCTTCTTTCTTTCTCGGGCGTCTAAATGTTGGTTAGTTTACTCTCTCGGTCTCTTCTAAACCGTAACTCAGTCGTGATCAAAAATAACCGGCCTTCGCCCTCGTAAGAGAAGAATCAGAGGAAAAAGAAAGAGGGTGAGGTCGTGAGAATAACCAGTATATTATTTCAATTATATACTTTTTTTTTTTACTTTTAAAAAAATTGCTAAATTTTTTTATTCAATTTTTATTAAAAATTTTAATATTTAGTTCTTGTCATTTTTTTTTTTTTTTTTATTTTTTTTATTTTAAAATAATTTTTTTTACTTTCTTTTAAAATTTTTAATTAAATTTTTATAAAAAAAATAATTAAATATTTGAAATTTTTTTAGATAAAATTAAAGAGTCACTTTTTTTTCACCGGGACAAAATTATAAAAATTTTAAAAAAATTTTTTTAAACAAAAAATTAAATTATTTTTTAATAAATAAAAAATTTTAAGAGCTAAAATTGAAGATAAAATTTTATTACTTTTTTTTCATTGGGATAAAATTAAAAAAAATTATTTTTAAATAAAAAATTAACTTAAAAAATTTTAAGAGCTAAAATAAATTTTTTTTCTTCCAAAATTAGTAAAAAAAAAAAAATAATCTTGACTCCAAAAAAAAGTTATTGGTGTTTGAAAACGCGTGCGCATTGATCGTATTTAAATTTATATATTGCCAACATGTGTGGCGCTAGTGTAGTAATATAAATATATGTAGATGTATATATGTTAAGCTTATATACCTTAGAGCGAACCGGAGCTTACTAGGCGTAAGCTCGCAAGCAAGCAGGGTCTGTCTGTGGAGGTGCTACTTTACCACCGTCTAATGTTACGCAATGGGTTCTATAAGCATCCGTGATCTGCTTGGAATTTATCCCCCACATTTACATTTATAACTTTTATATTTTTCTTATATTCTTATATTTTCTATCTTACTATTCTTTGCCCCGCGGATAAATAATCTCCTCCTATCCGCTCTTGGATCTTAGTCACAGTCCGATATCTTAGTCCGAGAAAGAGGGAAGAAAGAGAAAGAGAAAGAATATCTTGTACCGCAAATATTTATTCTAAAAGAAATGCTAATTAATTGTTATATGAAGCGTCTCTAGTCGGTCAAGTGAGTCTAGCTGGCCTAGGGTTTCTATTTTTATACATTTTATACTCTATCATTGAATACATGGGGCATGGGGTAGCCACTAGTAATTGTTCTCGGCTACTGCTTTATTGTAATATTAACTATATTATCCTAATACAATCTTTTTTATTTTTATTTGTCTTGTTTCAATTGTAAATATTGTTAATATTTTTTTTTTTTTTAAATTGATATTTTATTTTAATTAAAATTAATAAAATTTTTTTTAATTAATTTAAAAAATTTTTAATAAAAATTTGTCTTGACTTTAATTAACAAGAAATTATTTTTAAGATATTTAAAAACAAAATTAATTTATTAAGATTTTTAAAATTTTATTCTTTTAAATTAAAATTATTTAATAAATATACTGTTAAAAAATTAAACCGGCTTAATTATAATCACAAAAAACTTTATTAAGAGTTTAACTGATGAATCAAATTTCTATTATTGATATTAAAAATAATTTTAAATAAAATTAATCATTCTAATAAAAATAAAAAAGAAGCAATAATATTTTCCTTTCAACATTTGATTTTTTAATTTACTATCGTGAATAATGAGATATATATATATATATATATATATATATATATATATATATATATATATATATATAGGCAACCACGCGGCGGCGACGTCAATCAATATTCATAACGTCCTATCGATTTAATGATCTCCTTTTTTGCGACACTTCAATAAATGACCCTCTTTTCCATCTAATTAGTTAATTAATTAATTGATTAATTTAAATCATAGCGAGCTTCATTTGTAATTTATACGTTTTTTTCCGAAGGTTTTATAGCATTCTCACTTTGTTCAAAAAGTTATTATACATTTATTTAAATTACAAACTTTAAAATATTTTTTTAAATTAATTTTTCATTTTTTGTCTTTAAATAAATTAATTAAAAATTTTTCTACAAAATAAAATTAATTTATAAATAATATTTGGTAAAAGTTCTTCACCGGTCTTTTAAAAATTTTTAAATTGAAAAATTATATCTGATTAAAAACAAATAAATTTTTCTTTAATCAATTTTTAGTTGTTATTTTTTAAATAAAAAAATTTAAGTGAAAATATCCAGTGAGAATTTCCAAAAAATACAAGCAGCTTTACCACCCCCACAAAAAGCAACCCCTTGTTTACCTACGGCCTTAAAAGCACTTCACCAAAAGCACAGCTAAGTATTAATAAATAATAATTAATAATAATAATAATAATAATAATAATAACAAAATTAATAATACACCCACTAGTCACATCACTTCACTTTGCCCAAATAAAATTCCAAAAATAGTCACATATTAACCACTAACTAAACTATATATCACCAAAAGACTAACTCAGCATAAAAAATAAAATATTATATCTATCAAAAGCCGTTCTTCCATCCGGATCACTAAATACTTAAACTACCACTTAATCTTTATATTTATTTTTCACTTAATTATTTTTTTTTATTAAAATTTATTATTTAAAAAAAAAAAAAATAAATTAAAATCTTGTTATTTTTATTTTATTCACCCGTTCTCTAGTTCTGGTTCCGATTCTGGTTCAAGTAATATAAAGCTCGATCCAGAAATTCGGTCACTAATTTCTGAGCGCGGCCACTGCCCGAACAAACTTAAATAAAAGCTCACTGAAGAAAAGAAGAAAAAAATTGAAAAAAAGAATACTTTTTCTTCTATTTTAAATTATTAATAAAATTAATACCATTTACTCGTAATTAATCCTCTTGATTAAGGGTAGAAAAAAAAATAATTTCCTTATTAACAATACTAAACTTTGTTTCATTAAAAATAATCAAGCGTTTTTTATTTTGTTTTTTCTAGATACTTGGACTAGGACAGATCTGCAAGAATAAAAGTAAGTACAAGTTAAAGCAAAGTATCCGGAATTGTCAAGGTGGTGGCATAATTGCGACTACTGACTACTGAAGTCGCCGGCGCAGCCCTCAGTACCGTCGTTACCTAAAGAGTTTCCCTACTGCTCGAGAGAGACAACACATGCGCTCTTTTGCTTTTAACATTTTCATTTTATTTCTAAGGTATACGCTATACCGGTTGCTTATGTAGTTATTGCATCATATATTTATTTATGTATATTAAGGTAGTTTAGTACCCCGAGGTCACGAGATCTGTTTGACGTTTTTTTTTTTTAAGTATTTTACAATTTTTTTTGGTAAAAATTCTATTATTTCTTATTAAAAATTAATTTTTTTATCAATTTTCGAAGCAAAGGAATAATTTATAAAATTTTTCAAAAAAAAACCGCGCTTTTAACATTTGAAACGCCTTTTTCATGTATAGTTTGTGCTGTGACGTCACTTACTAGCGCCATCTGTTGGAATTTTGGAGAAACATTCTAAAAAAAAAATTTTAATTCTTTTCTTTTTATGGTTTATAAGTTTTGCAGTGATTTTTTTTTAATTTTTAGATAAAAAATTAATTTAAAATATTTAATTTCTATTTTATTTGTGAGTTTAATTAATTTAAAAAATTCATAAAATAACTTTGAACATAAATTAAATAAATTTAAATTAATTTTTAAAAATAAATTAAAGATAAATAATATTTTAAATTTATATTTAGTAAAATTATTTTTAGTATGCAATGATTAAATAGTTTGTTATTTTATCTTGTGGTAATAAATTTCTTTGCTGACTACCGATAAAATAATTTTAATAAAATTTAAAATTATTTTAATAATTATAATAAAATTATTAACAATTTCCTAAACAACTTCCGTTATCAATAATTTAAAATTATTTAGATAATAAATAAATTAAATGCGTCGTTTAAAAAGTTATTTTATCTATTGATAAAAAATTAAAAAAAAATTCATTAAAACCCACTATGAAAATCAAACCAAAATTACATCATTTATTTCTCACGATAATAATCACAATTTTTTTTCTCTCGGCGTGCGCTCGAATTGATTAAATATCGGAACTTGATAACCGATTTTTAAATCATCTATTGCATCATTAATTTAAAATAAATAAACATTTTTCACCAAATAAATAAATAAATAAATAAAAATAATGCGCATTAAATATTTCTTCTCAATAAATATAATAATAAAAATTAGTATTTATGTTTTGTTCGCTGTAATTGAAACGTCAACCATAAAAAATAAAAATATATTGTATAGTAAATAAAAATCCGATAAAACAATAATAATTAAATAATAAAACGTCACGATTTCATCACTGGCGTAAGGTTGCGTCAATTATAAATTATCAAGTGGCATCCTCAATAACAATTGCAATTACCCGATAATATTATTGAGTATTTCTTCTAGTTATTGACATTAAGAAGAAATACCAATTTATTTTCACCAAAATATTATTACAAATTGTTGATAATAAATAGTCTAATCGTAAAAGCATAAAATATTGCGTGCTTCTAACTCAAAGATAATTTCATAATATAAATAAAAATTAAAACAAAAATTTGTAATCAATGCTCTTGAAGATAATAAGATCCGAGAGGTATATAAGCTGAAAAAGGTCAAGGAATCTCTCAGTTTACTTCAATACTTGCTCAGTCAATATTTCAATTAAATAATTGTCAATTAATTTTTTTACTTAAGAAATTTTAGCAAATAATAATTGTTTAATTTGTAAAAGGTAAGTTCGATAAGCTTGCATTGTGAAAAGTAATTTGATACTTAATATTTAATATAAAATATATATTTTATACCTCTGTGGAGGAAAAGTATTAAGAAAGGTTTTAAATTTCAAACCAGTAATAAAATAAATGTTTTTTTTTTTTTTTTTTTTTTTTTTTTTTTTTTTTTTTTTTTTTGTGGGATAATGGGCATATATATGTGTAAAACTGTGAACAAATGTATGTATGTGTGTTGGTATATATAACTAGTCCAGGGATTTGTCAAGAGGTGATTAGTTTACCTGCACCGTTGTAAGGATGCTCTCGTCAATAACTCGCGCAGTATCGCTCGACCGTCTTTCCGGGGAGATAAGAATGTTTGGGTATTTTATTGCTTTTTATTTATTTATTTATTTTCTGATGACAAAAGTGTGAAGAAAAATTATTTGAAGTTTTAAGCGTTGGAAAATTTTTTTTGCTGATAAAGTAATAATTAAAAAATGTGAAATATAAATAAAATTTTGATTTATTAAATAGTACTTTTGTTAAATTGCACTGTAATTTTTTAAATATTGACTTTTTTAAAGATATAAGCTCATTTTGATGTTACACTCATCAAGAGCTTTCATTTGAATACCCACATGCGTTTTGTATATATTTTCTATATATTATATATATATATATATATATTATACATCCAACTATGTCTGCTATTTTTATCATATTATTTTTCACGATTGTCGGCTTAAGGGCTTTCATTTGAGTACCCACATGCATTTTGATTTATTTTTCATATATACATATATATAATATATATAAATATATAATATATGAAAAATTGATGTGGGTACTCAAATGAAAGGTCTTGATGAGTATAACATCAGGATGAGTTTATATTTTTAAAAATCTCAATAGTTTACAAGATACAAGGTCTTTACTAATTAATGACTTTTGTTAAATTGCACTGTACTTTCTTAATTATTGATGATTTTAAAGATATTATCTCATTCCGATGTTACGGTCATCTAGAGCTTTCATTTGAGTACCCACATGCATTTTTCATATATTTTTCATATATAAATATATAAAATATATGAAAAATTAATGTGGGTACTCAAATGAAAGGTCTTGATGAGAGTAACATCAGGATGAGCTTATATCTTTAAAAATGTCAATAGTTCACAAGATACATTTCTTAATTATGTATTTAGAGATATTTTCAAATACAACCTATTAAATACTTATGATAATAAATTGACTATTGGTGAGAATGATATGAAACCATTCTGAAGAAATTAATAATTTTTATTATTGGTTTGAATTTTTATTTTGATTTAATAATTAAAATTATTTTTAATCTATCATAATAATTTTTCCAGTAAATTATCCAAAAATCCGTCAAACAATAACTTAGACATGGACTACTTAAATTTAGGATTCCTCGCACTGGAATTACGCGAGACAGTATCAAAAACTTTATCTTCAATAAAAAACGAATTGAAGCAAAGCCTGAGCGAGAAAAGCGCCGTAGAAAATAAAAATAACAACAAAAATGTAAGCAACAAGTCAGAAAGCAACTTGAAGACAATAACTCTGGAGGAGCTATCCTGGCACGACACAATCGACGATTGCTGGATCGCTATTTACGATTACGTCTACGACTGCACCGAGTTCATGATAAAACACCCCGGGGGCGGCGACGTCCTCTGCGAATACGCGGGCAGGGATGGAACCATCGCGTTTATCAGCACGGGACACTCCGAGTCAGCGGTTAATTTATTGGACAAGTACTTAATTGGCGAGCTGCCTCCTAGCGAGCGGCTTTTCCGCAGCGAGAACGGGGTCAAAGTTATTCTGTAGTTTTTTATCGACACCAAATGTGTGTGTGTTTTTTTTTAAATTAATTTTTAAAAAGAGAATTTTTTAACATTGTTACCTTTAATTTTTAATTTTTTTATTATTTATTGCTTATTGCCTTATTTTAAATTAAGCATAAGTATTTTTGAAATTTTTTATGTATTGACATTTGTATTATTATTTATTTTTATTTTTAAGTTTTTTGTAGTTTTATTTAAAAATAAATTATTTTAATTTAAAAAATAATGAAAAAATTTTTTAAACAAAATAATTATAAAACTTGTTTTCAAAAGTTTACAAAATTATTTTTGGCTTAAGAGATTAAAGATAAAAAAAATGATAAGAATTTTTTTTTTTTATAGAGGATTAAATTCACTACAAAAAAAGTTCCTTAATAATTTTATTTTATTTTTACTTCTTGAGCAAGAATTTTTAAAATTAAAATTCCCGGAATTTAATAAAAAAATTTTTGTTTAAATAATTTTATGAATACTATGAACAGATCTTATGTACTGTTCATAAATAGAAATCACTATTACAATCACCGATCATCATTATTTTCTTTTCATAAATTTCAATACCTTCAGGCTATAATTAATTTATTGTTATTAACTATCAATAATTACTATAAAAATTATCGGGTTTTTTTTTTTCCGAATAACGCAAAGTCATCATTTATTTATATAATATAAATTCTAATCTAATAATTGATAATCACTAAAAAACAATTATCACAATTAACTCTTATCACTATTTCTTTTTCATTTTTACAGACATAGTAATTAAAATTTCTAATTGTAATTCATTTTTATAGTAATTAAAATTTCTAATTGTTTTTAGTTTGAGAAATTTAATAATTACCAAAAAAATTTTAAATTTCTTCTTGATGTTCAAACGTGCTCGGTGTTTCAGATTTTGAATCAAAATTATAAGACTTTTCTTCTTGAGGTGAATTTACAGTCTGACTATTTTGCACTGTAAAAAAAAAAAAAAAAAAAAAAAAAAATTAATTTTCATACAAAAAAACAATAAATAATTTGTTATAATTAATTTTTAAATAAAAAAAACTTACCATATTGAACAAAACTTTGATTTTGATTTTTATTAATACTAAAACTTCGTTGTTGCTGATTAGCATTGATAACAGTCTTAAAGGGTTGAGCTCTAGACTTAGCAATAGCTGAGTATAATATTTGACCTAGGTATCCATAATCTTGTTTGTATTCTTCTAAAAAGTCTGGCGGTGATCTTACTATTTTCAGTATCGGAATCACATTTTTCTGTGGAGAAAAATGAAATTTAAATATCTATAATAATTACAATAAAAATATCAAACTTACCAATAAAGCGTTCTTGATACGTCCAGCAGCATTACTATCACTAGCAGAAGCTTCTTCTAAAGTGATCTCAATGCGCCTGGAGATGAATTTAATGTTTGGTATTACGGAATTTTTAATAGCTTTAAGTCCCAAGTCGCACAAGCCAACAATTGCACTGTAAAGCGACGCTAAAGAAGTCTAGAAAAAAATTAATTAATTATTATAAATTTTCTAGAGTTTTATAACAAAAAAAATTCTATATATAAAATTTAAAAAAATAATTAGTGAAAAATTTTTGAAAAACTTACTTGATTATTCGTCAAAGCTTGACTAAGAACCCCAATGATCCTCATTTGAATATTATTAGCAGAATTATTAAAATTCCTGGAAATTTGACTCAAAACCCGGCTAGCAAAGTCACGTAGTGCCCAATGATTGTCAATCTCAGGCCTAACACACAGTTGCTTGGCTACCAAGCAGCTCATAACAGCTGGAATTATCTCGTGGAGGTATTTGTCTAGGTACAAGTTCGGATTGTCCAGCAGCGCCTTCACCATTCTCATTAAGTAGATCAAGAATGGAAGATTGTGGTCAACAACGTTGACTTTAACCCCTTCGGCAACAAATGTGCACATCCTGGCGAGCATCTCATAGAGACCTGGGTCCACTGAGAGCGACTGGAGAGCACTGGCTCGTAGTTTCTCGTTATTAGACATACAGGCTTCTGTTACTTTCTGGTAGTAGAGCTGCTGCTCCACACTCAGCTCATGAACTGCCAGCTCTTTGACTTGGACTGTTTCAACACTACGGAGCTTTTGGGGTTTTTTTATTATTTCACTGGGTTCTTTTATTTTTGTCAGCTTTGGTTTGGGATTTAGCTCGGCTTCTTGAGAATCGCTTGCTATAATTTCAGGTTCTAAAAATTTTTTAATTAATTTAGCAGATATATTTAATAATTTTTTTTAATAAATAAATAAATTACTGAACAAAAAAATTGACATTTAGACATTGATTAAAAAATTAAAAAACATACCTATAGAAGCAGTAGCAGCAGCAGCAGCAGGATTTTCTGGCACATCTGGTTGAACTCCCTCAATTGAAAGCCAATGCGCTCTCAGTGTTACATCCAATGGTAATTTTTTAAATGACCCTCCTTTGGCTTGAGATATTATGTCCTGCAAATCGAGCTCTTTTTGCTCAATAAAATACACAACCCGGTCGTTATTACCCTTGCTTTGAAATGGAACGTTCTCTTTGCCATTAAATCCGAGGATTGGTTCAAGGTTTTTGATCTTCAATGCTCGGTTTATGTCATGGGGCAGCAATTTTTTGCGTTTTCCGTGCCTCATAAAATTTGCTGCGTCCTAAAAATAATTTTAAATTTTTATTTCTATTTTTAAAATTATTATTGATGTAAATATTTATTTTTAATAATAAATACATTAAATTTAAGTTAGCAGACATCTAAAATTTTTTTTTATTTTATTTATCAAAAAAAATTTGTTTTTTTATTTTTTAAAATTTCTAAATACCTATCAATTTTTTTTTGCTATAAAATTTTTTAAATTATTAAAAAAATTTTTTTTATTATTTTGCAATAATTTTTTTAATAAAAAAAATTTTTAAATTACGGCTAACTTAATTTTCATAATTTGTTAAAGTTTAAAAATATTAAAACACCTGTTAATTTTTTAATTTAAATAAAATACCTGAATAATATGTTTGAGTCGACAGCTGACATCCTCAGCAAGATCTTTAGCAGCCTCATCTGGTAGGTTACCAACTCCGATACTCTCCGCAATAACTTTCATTGATTCTAAAGTCAGTGAAGTTCCATAAAAAAATTCTTTTTCAGCCATAATAAATTTTTATTAAAATCTTTAATTTTTTTCTAAACAATTTTTAATAATACTTATAAAATAAACTCATAAACTTGCAACCTAGAATGCTTGATGTTGACAGGTTAGATTGCACGCATTGTTTACATTTTATTCAAGATTCATCTTCTAGTTATTCAATTTGCCGCCAGGTGTCACTCGCGCGCTTTTTTAAAAAAATACATAACCTCAAAAAAAAAACTTGCAAAAAATATTTTATGTAAAAATATAAGTGCAGCATAAAATAGTAAACAAATAATAATTGGAGTTAATAAAAAGTTTATTTTTAAAAAGAATTTAATTATTAAAAATGCAGCGATTTAAATTATTGGTAAATCCTCTTTACAATAATATTATCTCAGCAAATAAACGCGTTGTGCTAAGACAGTTTTCCAGTGAAATTAAGGATGGAGATAAAATTGATCAGCCGGAGGAAATTAAATTAAACAGTGAAAAAAATAATGAAAGTAAATTGAGTGGGTTTGCAAAAGCTTTTGACAAATTTAATCAACCCGAGCCGGTGAAAGTTGTCAAGGAGAAAACTTTTGCATCGTTACTTCGGAATTCTAAATTAATAGACGTAAGTTAATTTATTTATAAAAATTAATTTAGCAGATATTAAATAATTTTTAGAAATTTTTTTAACAAATAAATTAGAAAAAAAATTGAAAAAAATAAATGCAATTCTTTAAAAATTGCTAACTTTTATGTCATAATTTTTTTTTTTTTTTTTTTTTTTTTTTTTAATTAAGTTATAACAGAAAAATATTTTTTAAAAATTGTACTCATAGTTTTTGAAGTTTTTACAAATAAAATTTTTTTTTTGTAATAAATTTTTCAATAAAAAAAATTTTTAGATGTCGGCAAACTTAATTTTCATTATTTATTATTTACAATAATAAATTTAACTAAATTACAGTTGGGAGATCCAGAAGGAAAAATTGTAAGCGGTAAAATATTTCACGTTGTTGAGGATGATTTGTACATTGATTTTGGATGGAAATTTCATTGCGTTTGTCCACGACCATTTAAAAATGGACAGTGAGTTTTTTTTACTATTTAATAAATTATTAAATACTTCAAATACTTTAACAAAATTTTTTTTTTTCTAGTGAATATATCAGAGGAGCGACGGTAAGATTAAAAGTAAAAGAATTAGAACTGTCAACAAAATTCTTGGGTGCTGCTAAAGATTTAACAATTCTAGAAGCTGACTGTGTGTTACTTGGGTTAATAAATTCTCCAATTAGAAATATTAACAAAGTCCAGAAGTAGAAATTAAATAATAACTAAATTTTTTATCTTTTAAGAATATAAATAAATATTAATACGTATTAATTTTTGTAGCTTAAAATTCTCAATTAATTTTTTTAATTGAAAAAAATTCCCCAATTAATTTTAATTGACTTGTTGAAAAAAAATTTAACACTTATTTTTTAGAGATAAAGTTTAGTCACAAATGTTTATCATAAATTAAAAATCAAGTGACTCATTTTTACAAAGTAAGTTTCAGAGCATCTATTTCATTTATTTGAAGAAATACCCCAGTCATGAATGAGCAGTAGGCGTGGCCGCAACAAAAAAAAAAAAACAACCATGGGAATTCCCGCGACCCGACTAATATGTTTACATGATTATCTGTGTCGCATGTCGACGGCCTTAGTCTGAAAAATTTGCGACGTAAACACTGCCCTTTCTACCTGGATGTTGTTAAAAAATACCCCTACTATTCTAAACTCAGAGGATCCATATAAAAACTCCTTTAATTCGGACGCATACGTAGTTCTTTGTTTAACTTTTATCTTGTTTGGTGATGGAAAATTATCAGTGTAACAATTACTGAATTATTTGGAAGCCTCAATTGGTTAAAAGTACAATTTTTGATTATATATTTTTAAAAATGCATTTACTCCAAAATATTTCACTTCTGCTAGAACGTTTTATAGCAGTGGTGCAGAAATTTCAGAAGATAGTTGTCAAACTTTTCGGAAATTTATGTAAAGGTAATTAATAACATTTATAGAAGCTTAATTTTTGCGCCGCTGCTATAAAAAAAATGAAATACATTTTTTAATATTAAAATTTTTGTATTAATTGCTAAAAATAATTTAAAAAATTGTTTTTTTTTTTTTTAAATTATATAAAATTCTTCAACTTTTTCTTTATTTACACAAAAATGATCTTATAATTTGCATTTTTAATAAAATTTTTATTTATTTAGCTCAACTATTTCACAAAATGGCTGCCTGCCATTTAAAACAATTTAAAAAATAAAAAATATCTCAATTAAAATTTTTAAAAATCAAAGCAAAATATTTAATTTTTGACATTAAATTTAGTCACAATTTTTTCATTTTATTTAACAAATTTGTTCCAAAAAATAATTTAAAAAAATTGCATTATTCATTTTTAAAAATTTTTACATGCTAATTTTTTTAATTATTTAATGACTGCTAAATTTATTTTCATACAAAATGACAAAATATTATCTACTCTAAAATAATTTTAATAATACTGAAGTTATCTGTCAATTAAAAAATTTTTTAACAAATTAATTTACAATAAAAAACTGCTTTTAAAAATATTAATTAATTTTTAAACGTGGAACTTTTTAATTAAATTAATTTTAATTGTTAAAAAATTTCTAATGTCTGTCCTTCAGACAGTGTCATATTTTTTTCACTTATAAAACATCCCCTCCACACTACACATACAGTTCGTTGCTCTGAAGTAAGCGGTCGATAACACAGCTGTTAATTTCTCCGCTTACCTTCAGAGTAATGACGCTATTTTATAAATCCAACACACGTATTAATACCCACTCCAACTTGACAGTAGAGACTGTACATCCATAATATATACATTCTGTATAAAAAATAGTGTTGTTTTTCGTGTCTGATATTAGTTATTACACATTGTTTGTTCTATGGTTTAAATACGTACTGGTCTAAGTCAACATCTGACGTGATTCTGACGAGAATTTACACCGAAAAAAACTAGTTACTCGAGAATATTAAAAAATACCACAAGACAATAACACTCCGGGTTATAATATTACTATTATAATTATTGAATAACCAACAATTAACTCGAAAAAAATAATATTATAATTATTATTACTTAAGTTAATATTGTTGTTATTATTATTGACCGATTGTTTATTTATAAATACTGAAAATCAACAAAACAACAAACGCGTAATAGTGAAAAGTCGACAAAACAACACACATACATTTATACACACACATATATATTTAGATATATATATAGATATAAGTATACACTGTAATAAATATAACACGTATACCGTAATGCATTGGTTATTAGTGACAAATACTATTATTAAATCATATATTTATGATAAATTATACGTAAACTTTAAATTAGTTTACTAATTATTTAAAATAACTATTGTTTTAAATTTATTATTATTATTATTTTAGATTTTTTAAATTATATAATTGTTTGTTATAATTATTATTTTATCTTGTGATCTACGGAATTATTTATATTCATCCTTACAGACGTATATTTGTAAAAATTTTATTATTGTAATTATTCTATATATTAATATTAATATTAATATATAGAGCAGTGACTAGCAGAGCAGATTTATAAAAACCATTATTTATTGTTCGTAAATTTGAGTTTGTTTTATTATTTGTTTTTCGAGTGGGATTTGCGTATTTCGAAGTTGGAAGGATGAGCGTCGTGGCGTCCGGTCAGCAGCAGCAGCAGCAACAGCAGCAGCAACAGCAGCAGCAGCAGCAGCAGCAGCAAGTAGTCAAGGAAGGATGGTTACAGAAACGCGGTAAGTTTTTTATTTATTATTTTTCATTATAATAATTAACTTGTCATTTTTAGATCTGCAGAGAAATTTATATTAATTTTATCACAATTGTCATTTTTTTGTTGATAATTTTTGAATGCAAAAATTTTATTTTATTAATTAATTTTGAAGTTAAAAATTTAATAATTAATTTTACCAATTTTTTTGAATTATAATTTATTTATTAAATATTTTTAATAAATTTTCTTTTTGCATAAATGACAATTAATCATTTTTTTGCTGATAATTTTTGAACTCAAAAATTTTATTTTATTAAAACAATTTTGGAGTAAAAAATGTAATAATTATTTTTGACAAGTTTTTAAAATTATAATTAAATTATTAAAAATTTTTGAATGCCTTTTAAATTCAATATCATTTTTATTGAATTTTTTTTTTTTTAATTAATGACAATTGTCATTTTTTTATTGATAATTTTTTAATGCAAAAACTTTATTTTATAAATTAATTTTGGAGTAAAAAATGTAATAATTATTTTTGACAAGTTTTCTAAATTATAATTAAATTATTAAAAATTTTTAATTGTCTTTCTAAATTTAATTTCATTTTTAATAAATTAAAAAAACATTTTATAATTATCCTTGACAAGTTTTTTAAATTATAATTTTGTGGGGGTCATATCTTCCACCCACTCCCGGGTAATTTAATTATTATTATTTAGTAATAGTTAATTAATATAGTCATTATTTAAGTTGAAGCTTTTCTACAACGATATTAAGTATTGTGTTAGAAAAGTTTTAGTTGTGTCGCATCACCATAAATTATACGAGATTATAATTTACTTGGTGATGCCAAACAACTAATAAAGTCTCGTTTCTGCAAGGGCATTTTGGAAATTTTAGTTTATTGTAATTTTGGTGCAATATAATAAAATTCACATTTGCAGCTGGCGAGACCGTAATAAAATGTATTCTAATAGGATTAAAAATATGTAAAATTAGTCGGTAAGAAGCTTAAGGGTTTTTCCCAAATATTTCTACAAATATTCTCAATAACATACATTTTTCTAAAGAGCAATTACATAAGTTAAGGGATTAAAAACTCTTGTCGCCTGGCCAGCGACCGGACCCATGAACTCAGTAATTGCTTTATTATACCTGTACCTCTGTACCTATACTTCTATACTTCTACTTCTATATTTTTTACATACTTTTCTATAATTTGATAATCTATCCTGTACATGTACCTACGTATATCAATTTTCAATACTTACGTATAACTAAGTACTCCTACCCTTAATATATTTTCTCTATACTTCCATCGAGTAGCCCCTACCTCTTGAGAGGTCGGGGGCCAAAATGGACACTTTAAAATTATAAGTTGGACCGAGTGACCCCTAAGCTTCGCATCGCATAATTATAACTTCACTTCGTTTTTTTAAGTACACGCGTGTATTAACAATTAAATATATTTAAATACAATTATAATTGTATATCTACGTTTACTTCGCTTAATAACTCAACGCCCTTACTTCCCAAAATTTAATTACTACTAAAAATTTTTAAATGTCTTAAATTAAGTATCATTTTTAATAAATTATTTTTCAGGTGAACACATAAAAAATTGGCGATCAAGATACTTTGTCCTACGAGACGATGGAACCTTGGTTGGATTTAAATCCAAGCCGGACCAACAAATGGCCGCGTCAGCGCAGCCCCTCAACAATTTCACAGTCCGAGGTTGTCAAATAATGTCAATAGACCGGCCTAAGCCCTACACATTTGTAATTCGTGGGTTACAATGGACCACAGTGATCGAGCGGACGTTCCACGTCGAAACGGAGCAAGAGCGCGAGGACTGGGTCGCAGCTATAAGGTACAAAAATAAATCATCAATATTGATTTATAAATTTGACTAATTAAAATTAAAAATTAAAAATTAAAAATAGATACGTCGCGGACCGCCTGGCGAATGAAGAACAAATCCAGCAGCACTCCCAATCGGAGCAGCAGCTGCAACAGCTCCAGCAGATGCAGATATCATCTTCGTCGGAGGACGTTGACATGGAAAGCGCCTCGTCGTCTAATAATGGACGTAGTGAGTCAACAAACTCAACCGGGAACGACTCTTTGCCCAGCATTGATGAGCTCTCCGCTAAATTCAGCGTCCAGGGGACCTCCAGCAGCAGAAATTCAGGGAAAAAGAAAGTCACGCTGGAGAATTTTGAGTTCTTGAAGGTACTCGGCAAAGGGACTTTCGGTAAAGTTATTCTTTGCCGTGAAAAATCTACCGGACATCTTTATGCTATTAAAATTTTGAGGAAAGAAGTTATCATTCGCAAGGACGAGGTCGCTCACACGCTGACTGAGAGTCGGGTTTTGCGCACGACCAATCACCCCTTTTTGATCTCCCTCAAGTATAGTTTTCAAACAGCTGACCGGCTTTGTTTTGTCATGGAGTATGTTAACGGGGGAGAATTGTTCTGTCACTTGTCACAGTCTCGCACTTTTTCGGAGGATCGTACCAGATTTTATGGCGCTGAAATAATATCTGCTTTGAGTTATTTACACTCTAATGGAATTATTTACCGGGATTTAAAGCTTGAGAATTTGCTACTGGATAAGGACGGGCATATTAAGATTGCTGACTTTGGATTGTGTAAAGAAGATATTACTTATGGTGAGTTTTTTTTTTTTTTTAACTTAGAAACTAATTAATTATTTATTTAATTGTGAACTATGAAGAAATAATATAATTACACTGTACTTTTTTAATTATTGACATTTATAAAGATATAAGCTCATTTTGACGTTACACTCGTCAAGAGCTTTCATTTGAGTACCCACATGCATTTTTGATA